TGGTTTGTAAAATAAGTGTCAAACCATAATCCATCTTTGTAAGTTCAAAAATCCGAAGATTTATTGGCGTTTGGTGCATTTGTATCTGAGGCGAGCCTGCTAAAAATCGATGGTTCCATCAAAAAATCGATACAAAAATTATGACGAGCTCTGGAAAGTAGAAAAAAGTAGTGCTATTTCCTGTTAGGTTTGCTCTATCCATTCGTTACTTGGACTCCTTCCGAGGGTCGCAAAAATATTTAAAAAATTGTGAAACTTGGCCTTCTCAAAAAGCATGGATCGCAGATTTTGATGATTTTTCGAGATTATCAAATTTCGTGCAGTGATTGTATAACTTTTAAAAAGAGAATGAAATGCTGCATCAAACGCTGCCAGAATCTCTTGCATATCTTTGTTCCACGAGATGTGACGTGCGTTTGAAAAAAGCGACATTACTTTCGGAACGACCTAATAATATCATGATAATGCTAGTTTGACAATTCTACTTGAAAGAGGCTGCTGACAAGGTTAAAATTTGCCGTTTTAAGCGCTCATTATTACTGTAAGGCACTTCAATTTTGATCGTGGAGTTGACTGAAGCCAATTATGGCTGGGTTCATACTGATTCCCATGTTCTGGAACTGTACCCGCACAGTTCTCGCACTGTGCAATTGTGCAGGAAAAGTTCAAGCACATGGGAATCAGTACGAACCCAGCCTATGGTAGAAGAACTGGAGTTACTGAAAAAAGCTCAACTCTGATTGTTATGGAGCTTTTACCTCAAAACTTTGCATTTTCAAGCAATTTTGAAGCATTTTATCATAATTACGGGAAGTTGTGTGCTTTACAGGTTCGGAATTTCAAATGACTCATTCCGAAAACTGGCACGGTGTAGTTTAGCAGAAGGAATGTTTTACACAAACAGCTTGTCCTCCAAACCTTTAACCCTACTTAGCAGTCGGTAGTAAGTGCTGGGTAGATACATATGAGCATTCCACGATATTTTTACACTTTTTGAAAAATTATCGCTCCCAAACAAATAAAGCTTCCAAAAATATTTTTCTGGAACCATGTGAATTGGCTCAGGACCCTTGCTATATTATTTCACTTAATTCACTCAATACTTTGCGTTAACTTCGTTTATGCTAAACTATTCAAACCCCTTTGTGGCCAAGACCTTCAAACAGACACAATTTTCCATGCATATGCTTAATCTTTTTTAGAAGTCAGCTATCGCAAAATAAAAACTATAATTGCGTTCCTGTCAAAATATGATAGATCGAATGTTGCTAAGTACCTAAATATTTCTCACTAAAGAATTGTACATGTGAGAACTGCAAAAATTAAGTGGCTCTATAAATTTTGCCAATAATCAAGTGTTTTTCCATAAAAATGCCAGTGTTTTCGTTGACAAGCGCAGGTCAGTGAATGTTTTGGTCGATGTTAGTATTATGGTAATTTTGCGTTCGTGTCAAACTCTGGGACAATTTGTAGTGCGGGGATTTTTTTTTTCGAATGGCTCTATATTCTTTTCATCACTAAATAGCAATAAGTTTGATATTTGTTGCTAAGCGTTAGATTATAACCACAATCATAGCCTTAATGAGTTGGCTGTGCTTTAAAAACGTAAAAGAACTCCATTTTACACTTATTTTATGCAAATTTATTTACTTACTTCCATATTCATGTAATGCTCTTCTACTTTTATGTTTGAAAGCGTAAGAGCTTTTTGCATCAGACTTTTTCTTAAAAATAATCTTTGATGGCAAAATTTCCGCAAAATATCCGCCAAATTTGCTATGTCCAATTGCTAACTACCTTCTTTTCGAATAATCAATAACACAGAAAAATTTCTCACTTTTTTGTCTAGTAATATCACTAGACTACAGAAAGAAAAATAGAAGAAGAATTTTTAGAGCTTTATTGAAACTAAAGGTAATTGTTGTAGAGATATAATCAGAAACAGTTTGTAAAATGCTTTGTCACAGAAAGAACAAGGAAAAGACAAATAAGTAAGATATGAATTCTTACGTCATCTTTACTTTCGGCGAGGAAAATAAGCAATGAAATTAGTGTTAGATTCAAAGCTCTTGAAATTTATTGTGACTCAGTGAATATTTGATCTCTCACATTGACAATTACAGACTGATGTCAAGACTGCGGATAGACAAACCGAAAATTTAGTCAGAGCTCATTTCCGGGGAACATCTAGCAGTTTCAAGAGATACAATTTACTTTAAGTAAAATACAAGCTTCATAATGAGAATGAGCGTGTGAATAAGAAGAATCTCTCATTTAAGATCCCTCAATGCTCAATTTGTGAATAAGTAACATGTTGCACTGATGTAATTGCTTCCGTGTTCTTGTGAATCTTTTCAGTATTCGAGAAATTTTTATGAGTTCGTAGAGTACAGAATTGTTCGAAGCATCTACTCCTTGTACTGATGAAAAAAAATCTACTCCTTGTACTGATGAATATATGAGGCAAATATACAGAGCGTCCCAAAAAAATGTAAACACTGTTTGATCGTTAATAACTCCCTTGCTTTTGTGTCTTACGCCGAGCTTGAGGCACCACTCTATAGAGCGAGGTCTAACTTAGATCTACAGTATGGAGCGAATCGTCGATCGCTCTTCAGTACTGTAGGATTACGGTAGGAACTTTGACAAGGATTTTAAGCCGTTGAAAGCCATATTCTGCCTGGGAACGAAACCAAACAGGCCAAAAACTTTTATACAAGGGTAATGGAAGCCGCTGAGTTCGAATATGAAATTTCCACTTCACTGTGACGCTTCTTTTTGAGGTTATCTCATGTAAACCTTAATAACCGAATTTCCAGCGTCAAAAATGTGATTACACCGTCAAAAAAGCTGAAAACACTCGTAAAAAGGTGCTTTATGGAATCAGCGTGCGCGAAACCCTTAGTACACGATTTTTCAGATTTAAAAAAAAATTGTCAAATGGCATATTTCACAGTAGATCCCACATGCCAGAAGTTCATACCGTAATCCTACAGTAATGAAGAGTGATCGGTGATTTGCTCCATGCCACAAATCTAAGTTGAACCTCGCTCTACAGAATGATGCTTCAAGCTCGTCGAAAGACATAAAAGCAACGGAGTTATTAACGATCAAACAGCGTTCACATTTTTTGGGACACCCTGGATAATAAGAAACTAGAAAAAAAAACTGTTCAAGCACAATGGCGTATTTATCCATAGCGATGCAACAAAAATCTAGAAAAATCTTCTTCAATGCCCACAATGTTTTGTATTTGGTGAATTCTTTGCCGTACATGCATTTTATTGCCAAAAAGTCTGCTTTCATAGTAAAATTCAGCATTGGTCACTTCTGTCGTTTTTCTAAACTAAGATAAATCCGAGAAAATTTCTTCCTTCACTCCAGTCCACGACGTCCATACTTTATGCAAGTGTTTGAACGTCATGAGCTGTTTTGCTCTATTTAATATAATGTTTCTTACAGTTTTTACTTAGCCTGCCCATGTAACATATGCAATGCATTATTTTTGCATTATTCTCATTCATAAATAAATGATAAGCATTAGTATATGTAACATTAGATAATGAGAATTCGGCAAATTGTACTTCCAAAGCATGCAGGCTTTTGGCATTTTTCCGTTTTTTTTTATTCGTTTCGCTTTTATTTTTCCGTTTTTTGACCCATTTTTCCAAAGAAGGAGATATTGCTTCTATCCTTGTGCCATGTTTGTCCCCAGCTTCAAAGAAAGGTGTGTCAAACTTTTTGCGACGTTTCAAAAAAATTCGACATGTCATCTACATGTTCAACAGGTTTCACCAAGTTTGTGTTACCCTACCTAGCAACGTGAGCTCAATCTGGTTTTTATTCAATTTTGACATCATTTCGATCAATCAATTTCAAAATGAACATTTTCATAATAATAACAAAATACTATTCTCGATGAACACATCAGACTTGCTTAGAATAGAGAAAAGCAAATAAGCAGCAACAAGGCTCTTCAAGCCATTATTTCTAGTCTTTTTTGGCTAGATTTGCACGGCGAAAAGGGTTTGAAGAGAAGGACTTTTAAATCACTGCTGAAAGAGTTAAAATGTTCTAACATAAGTTCAAGATTGTTTTGCTTTCATAAAAGCAGTTAAACAGCTTTAAATTAATAGCAAATTTTCTTTCACTTCACCGAAAATGATTTCAAACATGTCAAAATGGACCAAAACGTGTCAATTTTTTTGTGACACGTGGCAAGAGGTAGTCCTCGTAGAATCTATAAAATTATTCTTAGACTAAAGAACTTCTTACACGAAAGTTTTTTTGGAAAAATGGGTCCGAATGACGGAAAAGTACCGATATTTCTATTTTTAACCTTTTTCCGGGTTCATTATGTTTACATAACTGATTTATCAGCATGTTTCACGTCAAGTACTGGCGCGTGTTATTTGCCGTGATTAGAGTAGAGGCGCATGCGAGGTTTTTCTTTCCGGATTTGAACTCTATGAATGTTATTTCCAGATAGTTTAACATACCGTTCGAACTGGTTTGATTGATCAATATCACATGGCTACCCAATAAAAATGCCATTCCTATCCGCTACTGTTTAGAACTTTGCTAATTTTATTCATTTCCTGCGTAAATCTTTACGAATCTGTTTTTATTATTTTACCTGTTGATGCACAGAGCTTGTAAAAAATCTATGTAGTAAGACTAATTGTTTACTCAGAAAGAGGTAAGCAGATCATTTGCACTCATAAGATCTTCTCAAGTGTTTACTTCTTCAAAATCATCTGCAATCGACTTGCTTTCTTACTTTTCTAACAGTTTACTAGCTCTGTGATTAGACGAGCTTATATTTTCACTTTTGCTCATTGAAGTTTGGCAGTAGCACTTCTTCGCTCATTTATTGCCTCATAAAATTCCCGATTATAGCGAGATGCATGTAACATTCTAGGGATTCATTTCCATACATTCAATCATATCGACTTTAATGTAAATAAATTCATCACTAACACTTTTTTATTTATTTTATTGCAGTTCTGCCTCTCCCAGAATTGAATCCATAGAGCAAGCACAATGGTCTCTCACTCGTTGTTGAATATTGTACAGCTAGGCTTGGGCTTCTTCCTAAACTTTTTCGCTTTCAATTCTCAAGGTACGTATTAGTAATTTTCAAAACATAAATTACTTATCAAGAATTTTCCTTAAGGATTCATCGAAGAACCCGTAATCGAGAGTGCGGCAAAGAGGCAGAACATCAATGTTCACGCTGGATACTACAGGTTTGTCCATATTTTCAAAAGTCGAAGAGTTGCTAATAATTTTACAAAGAAAACTGTGATGAATAGAAACCCGTTTTGAGAAGACTTTGTTAATTATCATTATATTTTGGATTGGCGCACTTCCAGTAACGTGCAAGACCTAATCTCGTAGACTTTTCTGACATTTTGGATTTTTCGCTTCATGATCAGTCAGGTTCTGCAAAACTGCAAGAAGATAGGGTATTTTATTTTTATTTTTTTTTATATTAGGCCGCTCCGAAAGTAATGTCGCTTTTTTCATACGTACGCCACATCTCGTGGAACAAAGTTGTGTAATAGATTCTGGTAGCATTTGTTGCAGCATTTCATACTCTTTCTAATGTTTGTATAACCACTGCACAAAATTCAGCAACATCTCGAAAAATTATCAAAATCTGAGTTCCATGCTTTTTGAAAAGGCCAAGTTTCACAGTTTTTCTAAATTTTTACAACAACCCTCGCAAGGAGTCCAAGTAATAAATGGATAGAGCAAACCTTACAGGAAACAGCACAAGTTTTTTCTACTTTCCAGAGCTCGCCATAATTCTTGTATAGAATTTTTGATGGAACCACCGAATTTTAGTATTCTCGCCTCAGACACAAATGCATCAAACACCAATAAATCATCGGATTTTGAAACTTACAAAGACGGATTATGGTTTGACACTAATTTTACAAACCAAGTGAGCATTTACCGCTTCAGATTAGCAACTTTCGAAAATTCCAGGTACAGCCTGGGACGCCCTGGAAAACCTGAATTATGACGATTTTATCCCTGAAAAATTTTTGAATCGTAAAACAAAAACAACTGGTAAAAAGAGGAGAACAAGCTGCTTCGAATGACAACCGGATTGATTGTCGGTTGTTGTTCTGTGAGGTTTAAGTTGACCAAATATGGAATTTGATGGCATTGAAAAACTGATTCCAGAAACTCTAAGAAACAAGCTAAGGAAAAGAAAAAAATAACTCTGTGTCCTATAGGGTTTGCTCTATCTAACTGTCACTTGTACTTCTTCGGACAATAAGTACAAAAATCTAGGAAAATAGCCGAACTTGACCATGGAAAAAGCATGAGTCGCAGATTTTGGTAATTTTTCGAGAGCTCATTGAAAATTATGGAATGAAATTAGAATCATAAAAAGAGGATGAAATGCTGCATCGAAAGCTTTCAAAATCTCCCGGAAATCTTGATTTCATGAAATGTGGCGTTCACTTGAAGAAAGCGACATTACTTTTGGAACGACCTTATATACACTCACGGTGAACCACAATAAGACCGAAATCGAAAACAAAATCGCAACACAAAAAACAAAAGACCGGCGCCAATCCTCAGTCCTAGGACGAAAAAGCAATGTATTATAAAAGGAGAAATGTAATATATTAGGTTGGTCCGAAAGTTCTGTCCCAACAATTTCAAAAAATCATAACTTCCTCCTAACATGATGTTTTTGCATGACAAAAACCATATGAAAAGAGCAATTCATGCACTTTTTAAAGCTACGTTGGCTGCTATTAGTAAGCTTTCAATGCAGAGATAAAAATGGAAAAAGGAAATCACTTCAAGTTCGGAATTTTTAAGCAAGCCCGTTAAAAATTCAAAAACTGTGCCGTAAAATCCAAAACAACACTATCCTAGACTATTTTACCCCGTCTCTCTGACTGAGCAAAGTTCGCGCTGATCTAGCTGTTCTTTGAAAAGTTATGATTTTTTCGAGAAAATGTCAAAAAATCGATTTTCTTAAGAAACTGATTTTTTGGCATTTTTTCTAGAAAAATCATAACTTTTCTAGGAAGAGCTCCATCACCGCGAATTTCGCTTATATAGAAGGAGGGGATCAGAAAACCTAGGCTACTGGCTTTTTTGGATTTTATGGTACACTTTTAAATTTTTTAACGGGCTTGCTTAAAAATTCCGAAACTGAAGTGTTTACCTTTTCCCAATTTTATCGCTGCACTCAGAGTGTAGTAGATAGCAGCCAAGACAGTATTAGAAAGCGCATGAATTGCTCTTTTCATTTTGGTTTTGATCATGCAAAAACATCATGTTAGGAGGAAGTTATGATTTTTTGAATTTGGTGGGACAGAACTTTTGGACCAACCTAATATAATATAAATAAAACACAGGACAATACAGGGTACACTTTATTCACGATCAAAAGCCATTAGAAAGCTTTTTACAGCAATGTAGAAATTGTTGGTCTTTCAATCTTCAAACGATTTTTTGATTTTGATTCCTTCTTAGCACTTCGCAGCATTTTTTGAGTGGCTCCTTCTTTTCTTCAGCTTATTTGGTGCTTAGGATTCAAGCTTCGTCAACTTTTCATAAATTTATCATTTGAAAGAGCTTTCTAAAAGCTTTGATTTGGTATACAGGAAGCAGGGCTCGGCACGAGCTGGCACCAGGGAATTTTGAAAACGAAGTCCCCTTTGAAATTTGCCAATTTTTACGAAGTCCCCCTTGACTTTTGGGAAATTTTACGAAGTCCCCTTTGATCCTCAACGATATCCCCCCTAAAATCCTAAAAAAATCCCCAAAATCCCCCAAAAAACGAAACGTCGACTAAAAAAAAAAAAAAAAAAGAAAAAAGGTCGCCGCCGCCAATTTTCCGTATGTCTTCGCCCACAAAAACGAAACCCCCTTTGCTTTTTGCCCCAAAAACGATATCCAGCTTGCCCCGTTCCAGCTGGTGCCAGGCCCTGTCAGGAAGCCTTACATCATGTTGCGGAAATTAATCTAGAGCAAAATTCATTTGACGATTTAATTGTGGGTGGACTTGTCCACTTTACTTCAATGTAATAATGAAATTTTTTTCATTCAAAAAGGCAAAGTATGCGAAAAAACATTATGGCCCTCTGTCAAAGGTTTGCGAGAAGCTTTCTGATACCTCTTATTTTCAGCTTGTCCATTATATATGCAACATTCACACTTGGAAATTTTGTGGCAGCTCCTATTATAGACATCTTATCGCCAAAATGGGGGATGTGTTTGGCTGCATTGTGCTATGCAGCATTTCAGGTTTGGTTATCAATCACTTTTTGATCTACAGATTATTTGACCGCTTAATCGCTTGGTTACATTTCCATTTGTTTTTTTTGATCAAACACTTTTTTTACTGATTGCTTTTGTGCCTATTTCATTAGATTGAATAAAGTTACTAGAAATTCAGTTTATAATTTGCAAGAATGGACCCAAACCTTTCTTATAGGCTGGCTTTTTACAAATCAGTGAAGTCTATCTTTATATATCTAGTGCGATTCTCGGATTTGGAGCAGCAAGTAAGTTCTGAATCTGTGAAAAAAGAAACTCACAGTATGATGAATTAAATTTTTACAGTACTGTGGACAGGTCAAGGGACCTACTTAGCTCAAAATTCGAATGAGAAAACCTCTGGAAGAAATAGTGGACTGCTGTGGGCGCTTTCAGAAGGAAGGTGGGAACTTTTATAATGTAGTAAGTTCTGCGCAATGAGGCGTTACGGTAGAATTACGGTGGCAGCACAATATGTTTCGATTATATTAGCCGAAAGTTCGCGAACCTTTTTCAAAAATTCATAACTTCTGATTTTTCCAACCAATCAAATTGCTTTTATCTTCGTTCAGAAGAGTAAATCATGCTCTTTGAAATTATATCTCAACGGCTTAGTGTCGATCATACATTGCATAAATATGAACATTAAGGAAATTACACAAATTTTAAATTTTCTGTGTAGGGTCATAAAAAATCTGAAATTGCAATGAATTCGGAACAGTCGGTATAATATGTAGGTTTCTTTTCCTGCTCGTTTTAATTGGACAAAGTTTGTGGGGATTGAGCCCTTTAGAAAATTATGATTTCTGAACGAGCAGTACAAAACAGCGATTTTTTTATTTTTAATTTTTGGTTTTTTTTTTGAAACCATAGCTCTCCATAGAGACCTTCAACAGCACAAACTTTGCTCAGTCACAAAAAGCAAATAATGAATCCTATAATACCGAATGCACCGAGTTTATTGCAAGTTCCAAGACTTTAAAGATAAAATTCATAATTTGGGTTATTTTCTTCTACCGCTCATATCAATGCAATGTATGATCATAAGTAAGCCGCTAAGGATATAACAAAAACATGATTTACTCTTCCATAAAAATAAATGCAATCTAATCAGTTGAGAAAATCAGAAGTTATATGAGTTTTCGAAAGCGGTACGAGCGTACTTTCGGGACGGCCTAACATAAATGCAGCAACGATGAACAACGTAGAAATCTGACATATTGTCTAGAACTGATTACTTAATCTGATTGCTACGTCTATATGCAGTGCAGATACCGTACTACTACAGTAAACGCGCATTGTTTGTTTTTATTTTGGCGTAATCATTGAAACAGTGAACTTTACAGCCTTTTGGGCGGTGGTGTGTTTCTCTTCATAGTTTTTCACTCATCTGAAACAACGGATAACATCTCCACTTCGACTGTACGTATTCTTTATGGAGTATTCACTGCACTAGCATGCCTTTCATCACTCACATTTGCACTGTTGAGACCCGTTCGGGTGGCGAAGGTCCGCGAAGGAAAACCTCAGTACGGCAGACTTCTTGGTAAGCAAGTTTCAAGCATAAATAAGAGAACGAAATTTGACGTTTATTAAAAAATTTTGAATTCAAGGTTTAACAACGGTGTCAGATCATTCCAGTACGTTTTGATGTTTCATAAATGCCAAAACTTGAAATTCTCTTATCAAATTTTCATAAAGGTAAAGAGTGAGAGATGAAATGAATAAAAAGAACATTGGATATTGTTGATAACATTGCCTTTATCCTCCCCCCCCCCCCTCCTCCTTCTCAAGACCTTCCGAGACTATCAGCTTTCCTGAAGGGAAAATTCTTTTTGCGCAGCAAAATACGATCTTTTGTGACTAACAAATGTAAGAAAGCGAAAGATTTGAGGCGAAGAATCTTTTTAAGTTGAAAGAGATACTACTCCTTCTTCTCTCCTGTTTTTATGGGGGGGGGGGGGAGTGGGTAGAGCATTCAGCTGGATTGAACTGTGCAATTTAGTGTTATGCTTTGGAGAAAAGCTAGTTCAAAAAGCTGAACATCAAAAATGACTTTGCAGTTTTTCTAACATTTTGGTTTCTTTGCACTAAGAAGACTTTAAGGACGAATATGTTTGCTCTTATAATACTCAAAATTTCCAACAAAGCTCATCAAGCGTTCTGCGATTAACCTTTTACCATTGGCTATAAAACACTATCTCAGGTTCGACATTTCGTCTGATGTTTACGAAACGAATGTTTCTTTTGGCCATTGTGTTTGCTTACACCGGTATCGAGCAGGCATTCTGGACAGGTAACCGGCGGAATTAGTAATAATGTCAAAACTCAAGGGTGTATTAAGGTTATTAAGGAATATATCCTACCTGCATCTCATTCACTCAGAAACTGGGCTCAAACACGAACTCATTACTTGCGTTGAACTCTATTTCCGCCGGAGTGGGGCAGATAACAGGTATAATTCAGTGAAATTGACCGTTATGCTGCGCCTGCAGTGACGACAACACTTGCGCGTGAAAAACTGCCATTGTGTGCGAATCTGAATATGTACATTCTACGCTCGTTTTTTTTTCGCGCAAGTGTTTTCTGCTACGGGAGCAATATTTCAATTTTATTAGAATGCCCATAGTAATGAACCTTCTGAAAAACACTGAAATATTTTGGTTTTGCAGCCGGTTTACTATTTGGAATTCTTGGTGCAAGAACTAGTAAAATAGGACGTGATACTATCATATTCATGGGAGCAGTGATACATCTTATCACATTCGCTTTGATTTATATGAATTTCCCAAACGACGCCCCTCTGCAAAAAACCGAACAAACAGGAAATGTTCTGTCACCAAGGTGAGGATTACTTTGGAAAATAGCAGTGAATATCAGTGGCGGACCGGAAAGGCCCCCCCCCCCCCGAGAATGGGTCGCGAAATTTTTGATATTTACTTATATGGGTTACAAAGAACTAACTTGTTTATTCTTGTAAATAATTAGAGTAATTTTCTGAATTTTTACAAAATCCAAATCAACCTTGTAGTTCGGGGGCGTGGCGAGCGACAGCTACGCCCGCTTTTCCTAGGTTCTAGGGGTAATGGGTCTGCAATGGTTATGAAAAGCATCCCAAAAAATTTTTCGAAGTGGCTGACGCCACGCACCTTCATTTGAAAAAAATTCTACTCCCCCCCCCCCCCGCCCCAGGACAGAAGTCCTGCGGCCGCCACTGGCCGCCATCCATTAGAATTGACTCATTTCTCGTTAATCATCTCCTCAACACTTAAATTACATTAGGTTGTCCCAAAAGTTTCGTCTTTTCTGATCTATCAAGAAAATTCGGAGAGTACCGATTGACAAACAACTTGGGCATTTTTAGATTTAGATTTTTATCCTACTTCTGGAGTCTACATTTTTTCCTGATCATGCGGTCCTTGCCATATCATCGCGATGGCTCTTGGAGCAGATAAATATTGGCGCCAGTAATTTCCTAATTCAAATCTTACCCTAGCATCACAAAAAAGCGCTGGCGTTGTTATGTGAAGTAAATGTTTGCTATATCACACCATTTCCGAATTAAATGGGTCCAATTTTTGAAGGTGATAATTATTTTACGAGAGATCCTCGGCTTCTTGAGCACATTTAGCGCATAGGAGTGCCAAAAACTGGAAGAAGCTGATTCAAAACAAGTTAAACTTGATGATTTTGCACAAATAATGTTGGATAAACAATTAAGCTTCGACTGGCAAAAATTTCGAGGGCTTATGTTTTTGGTGCATTTGCGTGTTTCATGACCGTCAAAAATCGAAATCTTCGAAAAAATAATTTTTTGAAGCTCTGCTACAAGTGATAGATTAAAAGAAACTATGTACTGTACAGTCGAATTTTCCTCTATTTGAGTCGTACCTGCTATTCTTTGAAAATAAAAATAAAAATAAACTATTGATCTTGTTTTGGGTTTCTTGATCAGTTTCCATGCGTTTCTTGTGTGTCGGTTGAGAAGGAGATATTAGAATATCTTCATCTTCAAATTCTCTACTCCAATTCAGGGCTCGGCACGAGGTGGCTTACAAGCAAGCTGGGTATCGTTTTTGGGACGAAAAGCAAAGGGGGTTTCGTTTTTGTGACCGAAGAGACACGGAAAATTGGCGACGGCGACCTTTTTTTTTAGTCGACGTTTTGTTTTTTGGGGGATTTTGGGAATTTTTCAGGTTTTTGGAGGAAATTTGGTTGAGGGTCAAAGGGGACTTCGTAAAAATTCCCAAAAGTCAAGGGGGACTTCGTTTTTTCCATTTTCATCTAGCCACCTCGTGCCGAGCCCTGCTCCAATTTGTGAAGACTTGTTTCTCGCCGTAGGGTAATATTTGAGAGTAGGGCATATCTGAGGGAACTTGGTCGAATCCTAATCACTTGCGTTGGAAGCTTGACCTTACGGGAACTGGACTCTTTTTATAAAGACGGATATCTGATAAAGTAGCTCCTCATAACATTTTACATAGGAAATGAAACATAGTTTGCGAAATAAGCGATATGCTAAGCTCAACTTGAGACTACATAAATCGATAAAGACAGTGCATCATAAATAATTGACTTAAAGATGAACAAATATATACAATTTGTCAAGTAATATACAAAATAAATGAACAAATAAGACAAATAAGTGTATGCCAAATAAATGATCAGAGGCAGTGTTTACTATTTACATTTGGTTGTTGTCGAAACTCCCGACGCCGCTAGTATGTCGTTCTTCCACCTTCTCTTAGTGCTCGTTTGGCCTCGAGGATTTCCTGTTAATTAACAATAACAGAACTTCTTCCCTAAGTCATAGGCAGGACGGGGAGAATTAGGAGGGAAAGGGGATATGTTTTGCTGTCTTCCAAATGCACAAATCCCTAGCAAAAAAGCCTGGAGGTCTGGTGCTAAATAGGCAGCACTCCATTTCAAATATTGTGGATTGACTGGCCGGCAAAATTTAGCGTAACGTGCCTCAAGGTTTGTAAGTGGACCTGGAATATCAACTGTATCCATGGTTTCCTTCATTGCTGCAAAATATTCTGTCTCTGTCACCTCATATTTAATGATATCATGTGCTACTCTATTTCTTGCGAGATCTTGATATGTATGGTTGTCTGCTACACGAAGAAGATCATCCAATGGTACATAGTCAGATGCGATGAGTATTGAGGAGACATTTGTAAGTCCGGGCCATTCCCAGCGGGGCCCCCTATCCACTTCTTGATTCGTTCCATTGGTCACTCGCCCTCGGAGTTGCACCAGTCTTTTGCACATGAAATGCTCCATCAGCAATTACCCAAAAAAGAGTAGGTACTGCTGCTGAAGTAAAATCATGGAACTCCGTGATCCCAGAAAGAGTAAACGCTGGTGGCTGGTTAGTTCCTACGAACCCCAATATCTGATCTTGTCGACGAATCCAGTGATTCAGTAAGTTCTCAGCGGATTTTGCATGACATCGTAAAACATACAGTGCAAACCGTGGTGCGAAGAGCAATCCCTAACCGAACACACGCTCCCACTCAGCCATTACTGCAGCTTTCTGTTCAGACTGTCTAAAGATGAGATCAAACATCTCTTCTGCAGCTTGTTTGGAGTTGCGAGATGGATCTTTTGCAAGAAACTAGATAGAGTAGTGTTAGATTCAGCCCAAAGTGGGGAATCTAAGAACATGTTCACCTCCTTAACAAATTTCACCTCACTACCAGCCCATACAATCATAGAGCGAATAATATCCTCTAGGAAAAATAGTCGGTCCATTAGAATCCTTGGCTACAACAATTACTGCTGACGCAAACAACCACCACAGAGTCTCTGGAAATACGGGAATTGCAAAACATGAAACAGCAGTCATAATCACTGTAACGAAGTTATTGAGATTCTCGATTCTTTTCTGGTGATCATCAAGCTTAGTCCGTTCTTCATTTGGAAGAATGCAATCAAAACGTCCTGTGTCAACCTTGGAAACTTGTGACTCAGTGCATATTATGGTTGAGTATAGGGTAATTTCCGAAGGAACATCCACCTTACGAAGGCCAGGTATATCAGGATGTGTTAAGTCTAAAACGGGGAAGAATTCTGTATTTGAGCGAAGAGAGGTAAAAGTGGGCCACATCCAGGCAAAGGTTGCGGCAACCTTTGGGGTCATAGTCCGATGGGCTTCAGATAGATTGAGGATTGTTGAGGCATGTTTAGACGGTAAATCCCCTTGCTTAATGAGTTTGCCGTCTGCCCTGTAGACCTTTTCTGGATCAATGTTAGAGTTGCTCATTATGGAATTACAAGTCTCTACAGTTGCACTAACAAAGTATAAATAGTAACTTTGTCGTAGGAACACATATTGCGTCGAATCCTGTGGCGGCTCGGGGTGTGACTGCTTTTACTGGAGCTCAGGATGCCTCTTTTACCGATTTACTTGAAGCCTGTCTCGTCGACAGTGTAAGAAGTCTTTCATTGTAATCGATGGGCACAAACTGTGGCCATTGATTTCACAATTTCGGCGACAAAAGTGGTTCAGTGGCAGAATGCTCGCCTGCCACGCTGGCGGCCCGGGTTCGTTTCCCGGCCGATGCACCATGTAGAAGATGTTCTGTTTGTGTTGGGTTTCTTTAACTTCTTGCCACGGGGGTCTTCTGTGTTGAAGACGATATGTTCAAATATGTTTATCTTCTACTCTAATATGTGAGCTCCTTTTCTTCGCCGTAGGGTAACACTTGAGCATAAGGGAACTTGAGGGATACTTGCTCGATATCTCACCTGCGTTGGAAGCATGACCTTACGGCGAACCTGAGCCTTTGTATACGGACATATATCTTAATAAAATAAGCTTCTCATAACATTTTGCTTGGGAAATGAATAGATTGTTGCAAGACAAGCGATATGCTGCTAAGCTCAACTTGAGACTACAGAAATCGATAATGATAGTGCATCACAAATACTTGACTTAACAAATAACAGATGAACAAATACATACAAATATTAGGTTGATAAGAAAGTTCTCGGACATTTTCAGGAAAGATCTGCTATTTCTCGAAACCTAACGCATATACATCAGACTGAGGTACCATTCGATAGAGCAAAGCAAGCTCTACAAGATGGTATGCAAAGTTTCGCACCAGCTTCGACCCACCGTAAGTTTTCGCTTAAAATCTGAGCCGTACTGAAATTCAAAAAATCGCGAAAAATTCATATCTTTGTTCAAACAAATCCTCCGGATCTCCAACTTGCACACAAAAATTGCGGACCACATCAGACACTCATATGCACCGTCCCTGTATTTTTTCCTCATCTGGAAATCGAGAAAATGAAAATTTTCATGCTTGTATAAAAACGAAGCTGTGCTGTTTCCACCAACGTAATTGAATAGTTTAAGCCTTTAGAAGTATAACCGTAAATTTTCAGCTTTCCGTAAGCTCTAGTTGTCGAGAAATGTTGATTTTAGCATGGAACGCCCGAGTGAGGAGCGCTTAAATCGCTAATTTTCGGGAACTAGGGCCTGTAGAAAGCTGAAAATTTACGGTCATACTTCTAGGGGTTTGTACTATTCAAATACATGGGTGGAAACAGCACAGCTTCGTTTTTACATAAGCATGAAAATTTCCGTTTTTTCGATTTCTAGATGAGGAAAAATTACAGGAACGGTGCATATGAGTGTCTGATGTGGTGTGCAATTTTTGTGAGCAAGTTAGAGATACAGAGGATTTGTCTGAACAAAGATATGAACTTTTCGCGATTTTTTGAATTTTGGTACGACTCAGATTTTGGGTGCAAACATACGATGGATCGAAGCTGCAGTGAACTTTTGCATACCATCTTGTAGAGCTTGCTTTGCTCTATCGACTGGTACC